GATTTTAGTGGCGACGCGGGGAACTCGGCGGATGTCACTGGCGGAGTCCGTCCGTCTTCATTAGCCGTCTGTCGACAGTCGCCGGCCGAAGCGTCTTCGGCAAGTTGTGAGGTGGAGGTCACTGAGGAGTGAGGAAGGTTCGTTTGAAAGGCGCGAAGAGGGCTGCAAGTGAACAGTGCCGTGGCTAAGGTCGGTGATGGAGGGACGACCTTATGAAACGATGAACTCGCGAGTGAAGCGCGGACAGACAGACGGAGGACAACAGTGTCAGTGGTTGAGTAGAAATCGACGGAAGGACGAAGTAGGTGGTTTATCTGGACTTGGCCGGCCAGATGAAGCTGCCTGATGCGGCACTTTCAAGGTGACAAGCGAAAAGTGAAACGATCGACCGAACGTGACTTACTTTGCCTTCAGAAGTCGAAGCACGTTTCGACCGAAACGCTTCATCAGCAAATTGCATCCTTGGCAGTCGTCTTCGTCGTCGTCCATCGACAGAGTTCAGAGTGGCGAAACAGATGAGACTCTACCGGCGTACATTACGCGAAGAAAGAAGCCAGAACGAGAACAACGCAACGGGACGGGAGACAAGAGCGAGAGGGAAACGGCAACCTCGGCGGCGCCACCTCCTTGCTCGTTGTTCTTCGAATGGAAACACCTCGAGGGCAACACTAACGCGCCGTCGTCGTTGCGATCAGCCGAAAGAGTTCAGTCACCACACAGTGCCATCGCTGTTGGACCACACCGACTTGGCGAACAGCGGGTGGACGCGACTAAGCGGTGATCACCGAATGGCCGAGCCGGGCCGAGCAGGAAGAAACACTGGAGGCGCATACGCAGTGCTTCAGGAGGAAGGAGGTACCGACAGCAAGCGGCGGCCGAGGCGAGTCATTCATTCATTCACCGCAGCGATCGATACACTCAAACGAAAAGCACACGCACACGTCGACAGCCGTAGGTAGCAGCAGCTTGGGCTGACTGACCGAAATGCTGACCAGCTAGCAGAAAAAGTAAATGGCCCTTTAAACTGGTCATAATGACCTAGAATGAAACCGAAGCCGCGCAGAACTGCAGGCGGACGACAACTGCTCGGCCGTCGTCGTGGGTGCTGAGGATCAACGTGGAATGCTTCCCACCAACCGAAGGTGAAAGAGCGTGCGTGAGTCATGAGTCCGCAAGAAGCGGCGTTTCTTTCATCAGGCGCCAAGAAACGACCTTAGCGACTTTCCCTTTTCAAAGAAACGACGATGGCCATCGAAACTAAGCCAATATTGCCTGAAAGTCTCGGTGCTTTAGTGCCAAAAACGCTGAGAACGCTTAGCGCCATTGTAGTTACTCGAAGCCCTTTGAACCTCTGACTCAACCTCAGACGTTTTTCAAACTTCGAACGAACTTAACCTATTTCACTCGTTTTGAACGTGTATTTTATGTGATGATTTTTTGCTTTTCCAGCGGCATTCGATTCAACGGGTCGATAGTCTCATGTTCAAACTCAAGTTTATTCGTTGATACTAGAATTTAACGTACCGCCATTTCCCTTCAGCATCCTCATATTTCACGCAACCAGCCGACCAACGGGCAGCACGTCTACTCACTGGCGAAAACAGAGACAACCTGGTGTTCAAGAGTGATCATAACAGAGGTAGAGCGATGTTGTCTCATGCGAGCGCCACCTGCAGCTACAACTTGCCCTTACCCACCAGAACCTAACTATCAATTATGATCATCAGCAGCAGGAATATTTTGAAAAAAATGTAGAAAACTTCCATTGCAACAAC